TCAAGCTGTCAGGACAAAGCCACTCTGTACCTGTCTTGTCTCCCCAGGATGCAGCCATATTTGTGTGTTTTGCAACTCTAAAACAGAAACCCGCCACAAACAACAGAGCAGGAGAGTTGGTGCGGCCACGTGGTTTCAGGAGGCTGCGCTTCTTTGCTGTGCAGGGAGCGTAGCAAAACAGCTCGGGCCTCGGCCGCAGGAGTGGGAGGCGGCAGGTGTTCACAGTGGACTGGGAGCCAGAGAGAAACAGAACCGTTAACCTCCAAAGGCCGTCACAGGGGCCTACTTTTGCCAGCCAGGGGCCAACACCTATAGGTTCCATAATCCACCTCCCCCATCGCTGGTCAGCGCTTGGGCCTCCTGGGGCTGTTTACTTTCACACCATGGCAGCCCACCTTTCACAGAGGACCCAAGAAGCTTGTCAGTGAGGAAGCCTGCAGACCAGAGATGAGGTGGGAGATGTTGTCATCCAAATGGGGTCCTTGACTCCTCAGGGACCCCGGGTAGACAGGGTGTGGCCAGTTCCAAGAAGGATGCCAAGTCTGGAGCAGCAGGCAGGACAAACAGAGCTGGGAAGGCCTGTAGTCGTTGTGAACGCTTTAAAGCAAAGGACGGCCGCCATTTTAAAAAGGCCAGCGAGGGCCAGCAGTCCAGACACAGTCTCAGCACCAGCCCGGCTGGGGACATGGCTTGGGGTGAAGCACATGTCCTTCAAGCCTGGCTTCCTGAATTCAGGTTCTCCAAACCTGGGGAAAACCTAGCCACCATTGCAAAGCGGCTGCAATCCCCGCACCCAGGAGAGGTGGGAGGTGGAAACAAGCTCTCCAGAAGCCCAGGAGCCGGCTAGCCTGCTGCGAGTGACAGCAAAAGATCGTGCCTCAAACAAGGGAAAGGTAGGACCTGAGGTTGTCCTCTGAGCTCTACATGTAGACTGTGGCACTTGCATGCCTGCCCTCATGTGAAAACACATACGTATGTGCTGGGGGGGGGGTCTCAGAGGAAAGCCAGGACTCTCAGCTGATCCCCAAGGGCAGGCCACAGACAGACAGCTAGCAATGGCCTACCCAGTGTCAGGTGCAGGCTCCCTCAACCTCCCCTCTGCCTTCTTGAGGCACCAACAATCACCATCAGTTACCCACGGCCACACCCCAGAGCAGGTAAAAGCAGCCACGGTTCATCTGCCTCACAGTTGTGGGTTTATGTCGCGCTTGTCAGGGAGGCTCTGCCCTGCTGACCTCAGCTGCGGCGGCACAGCTGGTAGGGACACCCTGTGACGTGTGTCAGTGCCACAAGTGGAGTCTCAGCTGCTTGTCTTGTGTCTGAGATGAAACAATGCCAGAGACCGCCTAAAGAAGGATTTGTTTCCACTCACATTTCAGAAACTTCAACCCACAGTGTCCAGCGCCACTGATTCTGGGCCAGTGGCAAGGCCTCGTGGCAGCAGGAGCTGTGGAGGCGGAGCCTGCTTGCATGAGTGTATAGCGAGCAGAGATGGCGCACTGGACCAGGTGACAGGCATCACCCTCAAAGGCACTCACCAGCACCCTTCCTCCACCTCAGCTCTGTTTGCTAAAGTTCCCCCAACCTCCCCAAATAGCACAGCTGGGGAGGGTTGTGGGGGACTCTCACGAAAACTAACACATCTTGACGGGCTTCCTTTTCAGGCTGGCTTGATGGCTGAGTTTCAAGAGCAAGCATACAGAGGTGTCAGAAGGGAGCTAGTCTACATCTGTGGCCTGGACTGAAAAGCATCGTGACGGCCCTAATCACAGCCCCACCGCCAGTGTGGTTATTTCTCTTCAGATGCTCCCTCCTGAGTCAGCTTTGTGAGGGTGTTAGCTGGGCCCTGGAAAAACTTCTCTGGTGAGTGCAAGGTTGGGCTCTGTCAGCAGAGGGCGCTAGAATTGCAGGAAGGCCTGGAGGTGGAATGAGGCTCTCTCTATCTCCCTCTTTCTCTCTCTCTCCCTCCCTTCCTCCTCCTCCTCCTCCTCCTCCTCCTCCTCCTCCTCCTCCT